GATACCAGCCTGCCTGGGATGGTATCTGTTCATTTATAGGATCGACCATGGGGCAGAATCGTGAGGAAATTGCAGTACGGAAAGGGGTACTGTTAATTCCAAGAGGGGGTTCCATATTTCAGAAAGGAGAAGCTATGTTGTGCAATGTATGTCGGGGCCGCGGCGGCGACAACATAGCCGCCAAACCGCCACACCGGCCCAGACGACTGGTGGCGACGAGGCGGCGACGGGGCGGCGACGGCGACAACATATCCGCCAGATCGCCACACCAGCCTAGACGACGGGCGGCGACGAGGCGACGACGGGGCGGCGATGGCGACAACGTAGCCGCCAGGCCGCCATACGGGCCTAGGCAACGGGCGGCGATGAGGCGGTGACGGGGCAACGACGGCGACAACATAACCGCCAGACCGCCACATCAACCCAGTTTTCCTAGAACAGAAGTAAGAACCCTAAGTGCAAGCACTGTCTTGGAAGTCAACAAAAATACGTACTGAGGCAGCGAAGACAAGGAGGAGGAGGAGGGGGAGGAGGAGGAGGAGGGAGAGGAGGAGGATGAAGGGGAGGAGGAGGAGGAGCTGGAGGAGGAGGAGGAGGAGGAGGAGGAGGAGGAGGGGGAGATGGAGGAGGAGGAGGCAGAGGCGGAGGAGGAGAATGATGATGATGATGAAGACCATTGTAAACCTAAGAGTCATCAACGATGTTGGAATTAACGCTCCCTCCAAGCTCCCTCTTCGGCCCCTACAACGGTTCATTTCCATTGAGAGAACTGCCTCGTTGGAAGACAACCGTTTGAGCACCCTGAAGCATGCCGAAATATTGTTCTCGGGGTTTCAACGCCACGTATCAACCTGACTGCTGCGTCTTGACGATCCGGAATCGTGCCAGGATGTCGTTATAGGGACTTCAACACAGCGAACCAACATAATTGTTGCACCCGCGTAATCCTGAATCCTCCCAAAACACGGTTTCTGGTACGTTGATCATGGGAACCCATGAAACTCTTTGAAACGAATGTGCGCGGCGCTAAGGCGAGAGCCACATTTTGAAAAAGAACCGCCCTCAATCCGTGAAGCTCTGGCCACGTTTTAAAACGAATGTGCGCGGCGCTAAGCCGAGAGCCATATTAAAAGGACCCGCCCTCATCCCGTGAAGCTCTTGCAAAGTTTTAAAACGAATATGCGCGGCGCTCAGGCGAGAGCCACATTTTGAAAACCACCCGCCTTCAATATGTGAAGCACTTACAAATTTTCAAAACGAGTGTGCGCGGCGCTCAGGCGAGAGCCACATGTTGAAAACCACCCTCCTTCAACATGTGAAGCACTTGCAAATTTTCAAAGCGAGTGTGCGCGGCGCTAAGGCGAGAGCCACATGTTGAAAACGACCGCCCTCAATCCGTGAAGCGCTTGCAATTTTTAAAGCGAATGTACTCGGCGCTAAGGCGAGAGCCGCATTTTGAAAAAGAACCGCCCTCAATCCGTGAAGCGCTTGCAATATTTAAAGCGAATGTGCTCGGCGCTAAGGCGAGAGCCACATTTTGAAAAAGAACCGCCCTCACTCCGTGAAGCTCTGTCAAAGTTTGAAAACGAATATGCGCGGCGGTAAGGCGAGAGCCACATTTTGAAAACCACCCGCCTTCCATCTGTGAAGCTGTTGCCACTTTTTAAGCTTCAGAGTCGTAAGTGATGAGGAAGTCTGAGGCGAAACGCCCGGCTCGCCATGAAAACTGGCCTCGGGGCGCGAAAGGGAGAAGTTATTTATAATCCCAGTGCGACCCTACCTAGGAGTTGGAGCCCCTAGGAAAGCAGCATTAGTAGTAACAGTAAAGCTAAGCTAAAGCTAAGCTAAAGCTAAGCTAAAGCTAAGCTAAAGCTAAGCTAAGGCTAAGCTGAAGCTAAGCTAACACTAAGCTAAAGCTAAGCCAAGGCGAAGCTAAAGCTAAGCTGAAGCTAAGCTAAAGCTAAGCTGAAGCTAAGCTAAGGCTAAGCTAAAGCTAAGCTAAAGCTAAGCTAAAGCTAAGCTAAAGCTAAGCTAAAGCTAAGCTAAAGCTAAGCTAAAGCTAAGCTAAAGCTAAACCAAAGCTAAGCTGAAGCTAAGCGAAAGCTAAGCTAAAGCTAAGCTAAGGCTAAGCTAAAGCTAAGCTGAAGCTAAGCTAAAGCTAAGCTGAAGCTAAGCTAAAGCTAAGCTGAAGCTAAGCTAAAGCTAAGCTAAACACTAAGCTAAAGCTAAGCTAACACTAAGCTAAAGCTAAGCTAAAGCTAAGCTAAAGCTAAGCTGAAGCTAAGCTAAAGCTAAGCTAAAGCTAAGCTAAAGCTAAACTAAAGCTAAGCTAAAGCTAAGCTTAAGCTAAGCTAAAGCTAAGCTAACACTAAGCTACAGCTAAGCTAAAGCTAAGCTAAAGCTAAGCTACAGCTAAGCTAAAGCTAAGCTAAAGCTAAGCTAACACTAAGCTGAAGCTAAGCTGAAGCTAAGCTAAAGCTGAGCTGAAGCTAAGCTGAAGCTAAGCTACAGCTAAGCTAAAGCTAAGCTAAGGCTAAGCTAAGGCTAAGCTAAAGCTAAGCCAAAGCTAAGCTGAAGCTAAGCTAAAGCTAAGCTAAAGCTAAGCTAACGCTAAAGCTAAAGCTAAAGCTAAAGCTAAGCTAACACTAAGCTAAAGCTAAGCTAACGCTAAGCTGAAGCTAAGCTGAAGCTAAGCTAAATCTAAGCTAAAGCTAAGCTAAAGCTAAGCTGAAGCTAAGCTAAAGCTAAGCTAAAGCTAAGCTGAAGCTAAGCTAAAGCCAAGCTGAAGCTAAGCTGAAGCTAGGCTAAAGCTAAACTAAAGCTAAGCTGAAGCTAAGCTAAAGCTAAGCTAAAGCTAAGCTAAAGCTAAGCTAAAGCTAAGCTACAGCTAAGCTAACACTAAGCTGCAGCTAAGCTAACTCAAGCTGAAGCTAAGCTGAAGCTAAGCTAAAGCTAAGCTAAAGCTAAGCTAACACTAAGCTGAAGCTAAGCTAAAGCTAAGCTAAAGCTAAGCTAAAGCTAAGCTAACACTAAGCTAAAGCTAAGCTAAAGCTAAGCTAAAGCTAAAGCTAAAGCTAAAGCTAAGCTAAAGCTAAAGCTAAGGCTAAAGCTCCCAGGGGACTGGGGGAACCGCGGTGCGGGGACTGGGGGAACCGCCCGGGGCGCTGTGCACTGCCCGGCCCCTTTAAGCTAAGAGAGTAAGAACCCTCTAGGCAGAGCCTAGGTCGGGAATAAAGAAAAATAATGTAGGAGCAAGGGGAGGGGGTGGAAATGGAGGGGGGGAGTGAGGATAGGTCGACGGAGTGAAGAGAGGGAGGGAGGAGGATGAGGAACAGGCGAAGAGGGCATAATGAAAACGATGGGAATGAGGAAGGGTGAGGGATGACGGAGGGAGGGAATGACGGAGGGATGGATGGATGGATGGAGGAAGGGAGGGAGGGAGGGAGGGAGGGAGGAGGGGGACCAGGAGGAGGAGGAGGAGGAGGAGGAGGAGGAGGATGAGGAGGAGGAGGAGGAGGAGGAGGAGGTGGATAGGGTAGGCGGTGAAGGCGCTGTTGCAGGAAGACGTGTAAAGAGCGGTGCCGTTGTTCCTCCTGGGCTCGGTGTCGGTGTTTGCCATCGTTTGAAAGGTGCCGCCCATCGGGTTCCTCCCATCGGGTACACGCCCCCCCCTTGAGAGGCCCGTCTTCAAAAGTGCTGGTAACCCCCTTCGACGGCTTTCATTAAGTCCGCGTGTCATCAAACACGTGGTTTGACAACCTATTGCGAACGTGAAGCAATTTTTGTCGCATGGTACGTCTACCCGCGCCCCTAAACTACAATGCTCACCCACGTTTTTTTCCGTTGTCGCTTTTGATGCTTGAACGCTGAAATTCGGGGGCGTGGGGGGACACAGAAATGGGAGCAAGGGGAGGGGAATACCAGGAGTGGGGGAAGGCCACCTCGCTCGGGGGAGGCTCCGCCCCTTCCAGTTCAGGCCGCACGGCCGAAGCCATCGTCGGACCCGAGCGCGGTGAGCTCATGCGAGGCGAACTGTGCGATGTGTCGGCGGCGCGCACCTCGGATTGGCGCCACGGTCACGCCAGAGGAGGGTGCGGCGCAGGCGGTGACGACGACGACGACAATGCCGTCGTTGTCGTCGTCGTCGTCGTCGTCGTCGTCGTCGTCGTCGTCGTCGTCGTCGTCGTCGTTGTCGTCGTCGTCTTCGCCGTCGTAGTTTTAGATGTTTCGGGCGCTTCTGGAGGCTCTCGCCGCCACGGATGGACGCGGGCTGGAACCCTGGCGGGGCTACGGGGGGCGGCCGTCTCAGAAAGGCAGGGTGCGTCTCCGAGGAGACCTTGACAGCTTGGCAGCTGTTTGCAGAGTGCGACTAGTTCTTCGGTCGCAGCCCTGGCAGCAGACCGATCTCCGGCGTCTCGATACTCCAGACTTAGCGCTCCTGATCTTTTCCGCTCGAGTGGTGTGCTTCCCAGCTGCGCAGCTCGCCCACCGCTCGACTGAAGTCGAGAAAACCAACCTCGCAGGCCCCCTTCCCTCCCCGGAAGGCCCCGCCCCTCGCCCTTCCTGCGCGCGCCGCCACAGATGTCGGCACGGGCGCGGGGGCTCGACTGGCGCAGCCGGGTGAGAGCACAGCGTGCGCACCGGGGGCTGTACACAGTCGGCCTAGATTACAGTCGGGGCGCTGAAGAAGGAACTCTTTTCGTTGGGTAGGGGCTCTGTGTTCCCTCATTGTTTCACAGTTTGCCCTACGTTTTCCTTAGGTTTTCGAAGGGAAATCGAAGATCAACTTCTGGAGAAAAGGGGCCTCGTTCCTTATTTAGGGTTCCTTGGGTCAGCGCCCCGACTGTAGTAGGCCGACCCTGCCAGATCAAGGGCACCCTTGTGTCCTGTGCCTCGCGACCCGTGCTTCCTACATTCCTGTGGCAGTGTGGCCCTCGGAAGGGTCTTGTGTGTCCTCTCTCGTGTCCTGTCCCATCGAGTCCGCCTGCGCAGAGCTGGAGGTGAGCCCCGTGTCATGAGACGCGGGCCGGTGGACTCTTTGGAGGCCTCGGACGTTGTCTCGATTGGTTCCTTCGGCGAGAAGAACCTGACGTTCTGGGAGGCTCCTGGCCCCTCCCTCTTCCTAAGGCGTGAATCTCTCACCTGCTCGGCATGCGCGGACACTGGTGGGGTGGGGTGGGGGGGGTGGTGCTCCAATGCCAAGAAGCCATGCTTCGGATGAGCCCAGCGGCAACGATGCGTACCGAATCTGCCCACGCAATTCCAGCGTGAAGCGTATGACCGAGAGATAAAGCCAATCCCTCCTAATTCTTGACGCTTTGCGTAACCCCACCGGCCCTTCCAGAGATGATGCCCAGAGGAGTTGCCTCGATCAGGGAAGTGGGCAGCACACAGAGGAAGGGTCCCTCTTGGAGCGCTCTTGGGACACTCTTGGGTTCTCTTGGGACACTCTTGGAAGCCTTTTGGAGGCCTTTGGGCGCCTCTTGGGGCCTCCTGGGCGCCTTTTTGGGCCCTCTTGGGGCGCTCTAGGGAGCCTTTGGAGCGCTCTTGGGGCCGTCTTAGAGGAGATCGATCAACAACAATGGGAGCTCTAATTACGACCCCCCCTTGGGAACCCCAACAATCGCCTCTTGGGCCCCTCTTGGGGCGCTCTTGGAGCGCTCGCTCTTCGGCGCTCTTGGGGCTGTCTTGGGGCTCTTTGGGCCTCTCTTGGGGCCCTCATGGGCCCTCTTGAAATTGTCTTAAGGCCTCGGAAGGCCATCGGAAGCGAAAAGGCGAGAAGGCACAATTATTTGATTGCTAAGGCCTTACGGCCAGTGCCGCCGACCCAAGTGTCGGGACGGTATGGAGGGGGGAGGGGGGTTCGGTTTCCAGGAGGGGGACGAGGAGAGAGAGAGGTGCACGGTTTCAGAGGGAGGGGGGAAGATGAGGAGAGGGGTGGGGGTCCCGTTTCCAGGAAGGGGAGGAGGAGGAGGGAAGGGAGGAGGAGGGAGGAGGAGGATGGAGGAGGAGGAGGAGGAGAGGAGAGGAGGGACGAGGACGAGGTAGCAGGAGGAGGAGGAGGAGGAGGAGGAGGAGGAGAGGAGGAGGAGGAGGAGGAGGAGGAGGAGGAGGAGAGGAGAAGGAGGACCAGAGGAGGAGGATGGGGGGGTATTCCTCCTCCCACTCCTCTTCCTCCTTCTCCTCCTCCTCCTCCCCTCCTCCTCCTCTCCTCCTCTTCCTCCTCCTCCCCCCCTCTCTGGAAACCAGAACTCCCCCCCCCTCCCCCTCTATCCTCCCACCCTTCCTCCGAAACGACCCCTCCCCCTCTCCTTCTCCTGCGCCCCCCTGGAAAACTCTGGCTCCCTCTCCTCCCCCCCCCGAAACCGGACCTCCTCTCCCCCCCTCTCCTCCCACCTTTTGGAAACCGAACCCCCCCCTCCCCCCCGAAACCAGAGACTTCCCCTCTCCCCTCCCTCCCCCCCCCAGGCAGAGCGACCCCCTCCCGCCTGTGCACTGAATTACAAAAGTGCGCCAGTGGATCTCCCTGAATACACTCAAGGGGGGAGGGGTGTTCCAGAACCCCCGCCCCTCCCCCCCTCCTTCAAGGGGGGGGGAGGGTCCGGACCCCCCCCCTCTCCCCCCCTCCCCCCCTTAGGGGGGTTGGTGGGGTTCCCGAACCCCCCGCCGCCTTCCGTCCCTTGAATGGGGGGGGGGGTCCGACCCCCCCCCCCGCCTCCCCCCCTTGGCGCTGAAAGGGGGGGGGAGGGTTCGGACCCCCCCCCCTCTTGTGTAGGGAGTACGGAGTTGGGAGTAGGGAGTGGTGAGTAGTGAGTAGTGAGTTAGTGCGTAGTGAGTAGTGAGTATTGGGTAGTGGGTAGTGGGTAGTGAGTGGCGAGTAGGGAGTAGGGAGTGGGGAGTAGTGAGTAGTGAATAGTGAGTAGTGTGTACTGATAAATGAGTAGTGAGTGGCGAGTAGTGAGTACTGAGTAGTGAGTAGCGAGTAGCCAGTAGTGAGTACTGAGTAGGGAGTAGGGAGTAATGAGTAGTGGGTAGTGAGTGGTGGGTAGTGAGTAGCGGGTGGCGAGTAGTGAGTAGTGCGTAGTGAGTAGTGGGTAGTGCGTAGTGCGTAGTGCGTAGTGAATAGTGAGTAGTGAGTAGTGAGTAGTGAGTAGTGAGTAGTGAGTAGTGAGTAGTGAGTAGTGAGTAGTGAGTAGTGAGTAGTGAGTAGTGAGTAGTGAGTACTGAGTAGTACGTAGTGCGTAGTGAGTAGTGAGTAGTGAGTAGTGATGAATAGAGGGTAGTGGGTAGTGGCAGTGGGTAGTGAGTAGTGAGTAGCCAGTAGGGAGTAGTGAGTAGTGCGTAGTGAGTAGTGGGTAGTGCGTAGTGAGTAGTGAATAGTGAGTAGAGAGTAGTCAGTAGTGAGTAGGAGGTAGTGTTTTGTGAGTAACGAGTAGGGAGTAGCGAGTAGTGAGTAGTGAGTAGTGAGTAGCGAGTAGGGAGTAGGGAATACGGAGTAGTGAGCAGTGAGTAGTAAGAAGTGGGTAGCGATTAGTGGGCAGTGAGTAGCGATTGGTGAGTAGTGGGTAGTGGGTAGTGAGGAGTGACTAGTGATTAATGACTCGTGAGTTGTTACTAGTGACTAGAGACCTATGTAATGACTAGTGAGTAGCGGGTAGTAAGTAGTGAGTAGTGAATAGTGAGTAGCGGGGAGTGGGTAGTGAGTGCTGAGTAGCGAGTATGGGAGTAGTGAGTACTGAGTACTGTGTAGTCAGTATTGTGTGCGGAGTTGGGAGCAGCGAGTAGCGAGTAGTGGGTAGGGAGTAGTGATTTGTGGGCAAGGAGTAGCTAGTAGTGAGTAGTGAGCAGTGGATAGTGGGTAATGAGTAGTGATCAGTGAGTAGTGAGTAGTGTGTAGTGAGTAGTGCTTAGTGAGTAGTGAGTATTGAGTAGTGGGTAGTGAGGAGTGAGTAGTGAGTAGTTTGCAGGGAGGAGGGAGTAGTGAGTAGGGAGTAGTGAGTCGCGAGTAGTGAGTGGTGGGTAGTGAGTAGTGGATAGTGAGTAGTGAGTCGTGAGTAGTGAGTAGGGGGTAGTGAGAAGTGAGTAGCGACTAGCGAGTAGTCAGTAGTGGGTAGTGAGTGACGAGTAGTGAGGAGTACTCGTTGGGGCTGGGGTTAGTGGTTGGGGTCAGGATTAGGGGTTTGGGTTAGGGTGAGGACTAGGGGTAGGGGTGGCGGGGGTCGGGTTCCGGAGTCAGGGGGCGGCGTGGCGACAGGGGAGGAGGGGGGGGGGGTCGGAACCCCCCCCGCCTTTTGAAAGGGGGGGAGGGGGGGGGTTTCCCCGACGACGGGTCCCGGGAAAGGGGGGGGGGAGGGGTTTCCCCGACGACGGATCGGGAAGGGGGAGGGGGGGGGGTCCCCGACGGGGAATCGGGGAGAGGGGGGATGGGGGGGTGAGGTTCCTACCCCCCCCCCAGGGAGATCCAGCGGCGCACCCCTCCTGAATTACGTCCCCCCCTTCCCCCTCTCGGGCCTGAATGGCGTCAGCCATGCGTCAGCCCTCCCCCCCCGACTCCCCCCTTCCCAGGCCTGAATGGCTTCAGCCATGGCGTCACCCTCCCCTCCCTCCTCTGCCCTGGGCTTGAATGGCGTCAGCTATGGCGTCAGTCCCCTCCTCCCCCAACATAGCGAAGCTTGCGCGAGCTCCCCCCCCTCCCCCGTCCCCGGTCTGAATGCGTCTGCTATGGGCGTCCCCCCCCCCCCCCTCCCGACCCCCTCCTACCCGGCCTGAATCTCCCCTCCCCCCCCCCATCCTGGGCCTGATGGCGTCAGCTATGGCGTCAGCCCCCTCCCCCCCGACAGAGCGAAGCTTGAGCGAGCTCCCCCCCCCCTTCCCCCTCCCGGGTGTGAATGGCGTCAGCCATCGCGTCCCCCCCCCCCCCACTTCCCTCCCGGGCTTGAGTGGCGTCAGCTATGGCGTCAGCCCCCCCCCCCCGACAGAGCAACGCTTGAGCGAGCTCCCCCGCCTTTCCCCTCCCGGGCCTGGCGTCAGCCATGGCGTCAGCCCTCCCCCTCCCCCGACAGAGCGAAGCTTGAGCGAGCTCAGACCCACTCTGAAACTCACACGCCAGATCGCCGGATTTGCAAGAGCCATGGCACGCGTGCCACTTGTTTGACAGGGACGACTGGGGGGGGGTCGATGCCGGCCTGGCTGGGATGGTACGGGTACAGTTGTATAGCGAGCGGCGGGGGAGGGCTTTGTCAGAAGAGCTTTCAGAGCTTAAGTCGTCAGTTCCACTGCTCGAGCAAACATTCCACCCACCTGCCCGCATCTTGGTTGGCAGTATCCCACAGACCGTGAATGCATTTACCCTTTGGAACCCTTTAGAATTTGTTAGCGAATTCCAAAAAGCACACTTTCGTGCGGACCGTCGGCGTGCAACTCCACGGCTCGGGCGGGCGAGTGATGATGCTGTAGGGGGTGTTGTCATCGAAAACAAGCTGGCAGGGATGGCAGGAATCCTGTGTCTTGCTGGCGATGTTGCGGAGCGCATGTGCGACACTTGCGAAGACATTGGCATGCTTCTCACGACTCTGCAGAACTCTGCCATGCAATCTCTAGAGCATCGATGGTCCTATAGTGGTTCGGGGGTGGACAGACCTCCTACCCTGACACGTCGATTAAGGAATTGGCCGTTTTCGGTTCGCGAGAGGGCGTCACGGCCGTCGTTTTTGCGGGTCCAGGTCTGCTGGTTTCGGTCCTAAACCGTTTACTAAATGGAGGTTTGTCCACCGCCGAGTGGTTCCGACCCTTTAGAAGGCTGTCCTCTCGCGCCACCCCACCGTGCGCGCCGCTGGAGGAGGTCGAGGGGCGGAGGAGATGGGGAGCGAGAGGATCGAGATCGGCGACGCGCCAGGGAGGAGGAGAAGGAGGAGGAGGAGGAGGAGCGAAACAAAAAACAAAACCGGCGACGCGCCAGGAGGGAGGGATTGGGACGGGGGTGTATCCTTTTGGCCAACTGCAGCTGCGCTGACTCGAGCATACACTGCCCTCCGCAGCATATTCTGTCGTTGCAGCTCTCGGCAGCCCAGAGCCATGCGCGAGCTCGTCCACATCCAGGGC